CAGCATTGAAAATTATCGACTTAGAACGTTTCCTTGGGGTACACCTCTGCTCATGTTGTAGTAATCGCTGTCTTCGTTATTGGTAGAAATGTATATTTGTCTGTTACGCAGGAAGTTAGCGATTCATTGAAGGATGCGACAATGAACCCCTAGTGAGGCAAGCTCGTACAGCACAGAAAGGTGGCTCAAAGAGTCGAACGCCTTCTTAATATCTATGAACGCCGCAACAGCCATGTTTCCACAGCTCGTTTCATGTTCTACAAATGTAACGAGGTTGAAGACGCAGTCCTTAGTGCATCGCCGTCGTCTGAAGCCAGCCATCTGATTTGGAAAAGAGTTGTTAGCTTCAATCCACCACTGTAACCTTCAAACAACCATTTTTTTATGACTATAGATACACAGCTAGTGAGGCTGACTGGTCGAAATGAGTCAAGCGAAAGGGGCGATTTACCGGGCTTTAGCAGTGGGACGATTCTCGCGACCTTCCAACACATTGGAACGTACACCTTGGTCCAAATGTTGTTATATATCCGTAAAGAACTGGCATGTCGTTGGGGCCTAGATTTTTCAAAACACTGTACGACACGTTGTCGGGACCTGTTGCCGTTCTTACGCGGGTTAGTGATAGAGCAGTACGCGACTCTAGTAGAGAATACGTGTTATTCAGTTGAGAATGTGATAAAGCGTATGCATCTTAGATTTTGTGCTCTACAGAATTGGGCAGTGCAGTATTGTTGTCAATCAACTGCCCAGTAACACTAAGAATTTTGCAAAACTGATTAGCAACATCACGTTCGGATAATCCAAGAGATATGGCCAACTAATGCTCTGAATGGGTTTCGCTGGGATACTGGATGACCTAAAGCAGTGATTGTTGGCCAGATATTCGGAACTGGAGTAAAGAGGTCACTGAATTGCAGAAATTGCGCCAATTGTTTTTCTACCTAACTTTTGCATATGTCGGTTAGATTGGACGTGCGTGGCCTGACTCTGCTTATAATCTTCTAGCCTCCTAGTGTGGCGGTAGCGACGTTCTGTTCGTCTTCTAATTGCTCTTAGGCGCTCATAGTCTGCATCTACACCGGAGTGGCTTGTTGGGAAGGCTGTAAACCTTGTCGCACGAAAGTAACTGCTTTTAATGCAGTACATAAATGTATCCAGTTCATTAACTCCCACTAAGTCATGTCCAGTATGGTCACGAAATTTAGTTTCAAGTCAGTTAGCTTTGAGGTTAATGTTGTCGTCTGCACTTGCATTCTAGGGTGTTGCTTGAGGACTGGGTAATGGTCACTCCCTCACGTTTGGAGGTCTGTACACCAGTTCATACCTCGCGCAATGTCAGGAGAGGGTATAGCCAAATCCAGACAGCTGGCATAAGTATAATCCCTTAAAAACGTTACTGATTCGTCATTCAGTACAAGACCACACCTATCAGTTGCTCTTCCAAGTGTTCTCCCATGGGAATCGGTATGAGTACTGCCCCACATGGTATTGTGCGCATTAAAATCTCCACAGATGAGAGCAGGTCCCTGGATTTTACCCAATAAATGAACCAGGTATGATTCGGAGATGCGTGTCGATGGTTGCAAATAAACACAAATTACGGTGATGGTAAGTTTCTAGAATTGCATTTTGCACCCTACAAATTCTGGCACGTCCGAGTCCGACGAGTATAAATGAAAAGAGGGTATGTCGCGCCATACGCATAACAGTACCCTACTCATGCCTGGATTTCTTGTTGATGCATATGTTGCATAATTAAAAATCCTCAAGTCAGGGCTAACGTTGGTTTCATTGACACAAAATGGGGAAGCTATACTGAGCAACCAGCTTCCTAGAGTCCGCGCTTTTGGATCTAAGACCATTAGCATTCCACTTAAGCACAGTTGTGGTTGCGGAAACAGTTGTCCATTTGTGGAGTCATTTTGCCATACAACAATTTTTTCTTGTACTGCTATAGGTTCTAATGAAAGGATGGCGCTCACTTCTGGAAGGTCTTAGGCCTGCGGAAACACACGCAGGATTGCCTTCAAAACAAACATAACCATATGGACATCACTTGTTTTCGGTGCACGTCGCTCTTGTGCCTTTGGCTTTGATGAGGTGAAAGGTGTAGACGCATAGTGATCCTGAGTTGCTGATGGTTTCGGTGTCCTGCTGTCGCTTGTTTTCCTTTGAACGCTTGGTGAACGTCCTCTATGGTTCGTTTTGGTTGTACCTTTTTTTTGCTGAGCTGAAGCACGCTTGGCTACAGTCGCATACAATAACGGTGATACTGTGATTTTGAAGTCATAAGGAGTGCATGCACCGTTTTAGAATTCGGGCAAGGCGATCCCTTTTTCGGAGCTCTTCCAACCAAAATTTCTTGTCGCTTTAGTCGAGCAGCCACCTGATGTTTCGGACAACTAGCATGTGACGCTACGTTGTCTCCATTGCAATTGGCACATTTAGGATGATTCCTCGATGTGCAGTTTTGTAATCATGTGCTCCGGCACAGATTTTGCTGCGAAGTTGTCCATGACACGATTTGGCAACATGTCCATATCGTTGACAGTTGTAAGATCGTGTAGCAGGCCGTAGGTACTCTTCCACCGGATGACTTGTGAATCCTAGGAGAACACGAGGCGGCAATGGCAATGGTTTGTCGGGGGAGAACTCAAGAATGACACTGCCGAGTAAATGTGCCTCAGCTGAACCATCTTTACGACGGAGCCATTTAGTCTGTCTCTTGACTGAGATTACACCGCTGTCTCTTAAATATTGAAGCAGTTGATCTTCACTGTATTGTACTGGTACTTGTCTACTCTTTTCTACGTTCTGCACGTACGACTGTGCCATATATATATGGTGCCACTTCAAGAGCACTAACATGTGTTAACTCAAGAAGTCTTTAGAGGCAGTAACTGTAGAGACACTTACGGAGAAGTTGTCATCTCTGTTGACACAGAATGATCGCACTTTCTCTTTAGCAGCAGATACTACTTCACTGGCCAGTTTGTTCGGATTGACTTTCCAGAATGAGACGCTAGGGTCCGTCAGCTTGAAAAAACGGGTATCCGCGCTGGTCGGGCTTTTTTGTAAGTGACCGTTGTTAAAGGCCTGTCTTCTGCTTCCATATCACAGTTCATTTCCACGGAATCTATAATTGTTGCATCGCTGAAATCTTCTTTATTATCAGTTCGTGCCTTTTTCAAAGTAACCTACTCATCGCTGGCGTTAGGTGTCGTCGAGGGGCCGCCACGGTCCTCCTCACGTCTGCGAAACATGGGATTCTCTTGCTGTTCGAACGCATTCATCACTTCGTCCCCATCCTATGGGCGCTGGGAAGAATGGCCTCCACCCGTAGCCGAAGCTTTGGGACGTTGTGGCAGCCTAAGATAAGGCTTCGGCGCCTTGGAGACATAGCACCTTGTGCACCGCGAAGGTTGTGGCCAAATCTTGGCAGTAAGACAAATAATGTGAGTAAAGAAACTCACAAAATTAGCAAAAACAGCAGCGCAAGGAAGCTCACGCCCAGTGATTCACCGCTTCGTCTTCTTCCTTATACAGTTGTTTTGGGACGTAAAAACCCAACAAGTAATAATGATCCAGGGATGTGTGCGATGCGCAGACATTACAAAACAAAAGAGATATCCCCAATCCAAACCAGACACGCTTCAAGGCTGTCGAATTTCGCAGCACAACGCTGCGTATGTGAAAACGCTTTTGTTAGTGTTGTTTCAGGAAAAACTAACACGCTGAGATATTGTAAAATGCTTTTTAACGGTGGTCTAAAAAATCAAGAAGAATTGGTTATTTTCTATGAAGACTGCTGTATACACTTCGCCTCTTCTGCATCATTCATTAGTTATCGATAATTACGCGCTACAGAGCGTGCATAGACAAAACAACGCGCTGTTTCAGCTCAGTCTGTCGTCTTTTTCCTTGTCGTCGTGCCCTCACGCTGTGAGTGTATTGCTTTGATCCCGAGTCTGAGTGAGGCTCATTGACCCCTAGGCTGAGTTGGTGTGAGCGTGTGGGTGAAAATGTGGGTCGTATAGTCGAGGCGAGAGGACGTCGGCGATTGTGTGAGAGAGTGGGTCACTATGAGTCAGCGCTATTGTGAGCTTGAGCGAAGTGAAATCGGCCTAAATCACACGAACTTACAAGTTTACTGCATGTCTGCAGTGTGTGCGATGTGATTTTCGATATTGTGGGCAACTATTTTAGACGCGCTTTGACTTTAAATACTGCGAGGTCATCGCGTACTCTTTTTTTTACTTTATCAAGGCGAGGAAAAAAAATGCACCTGTAATACGTTGCATGTGATGAACACTGTAAAATGGCTTATACGTCTTTGTGAATTTGCTTTCAAGGGCGAGACAAGAAGTGTAATTCAATGCTGGTCGGCTAGAGAAATCAAGTCTACAGACTGACCAACTTCGTTATGTGACTTCACTGCTGTGATATGGAAATATATATACTTTTGCTTTGCGACCTCTGCTTTGTTTTCTATGAATTATATTCTCTTTCATTCGTAGCGCGCTTGCATTCTGATGCTATGTAAGGCACAGTCAACGCATTCTAGCACATTTCTCCATACCGCCGACATTCTTTCATAACCAGCTGCTTAAAGCTATGGAAGTGGAGGCACGCTACACTATTGCGTACATCACACAGTCGGTGGTTGGTAAAGCACTGAAGGTGATGATTATGTTTGCCGGTAAATTCCATTTTAAGATATTCTACTTTATGATAAGTGCTTCTGATGTTTGCGGCGAAGTGATAGTTTTGAATATAAATGACTTGGCAAATGCGAGAAAGGAATTTGAGATGGATAGATGCTAGCAGATCGGTTATGCAAGTCTGAAGTACTCAACTCAGACTTTTCCCACTTTACTGCTAGTTTATTTCCGTTAGTTAGAGTGCATCACCACCTAAGTATAAAATCGCGTGGTTTTCACTCTCCGTTGGATGTCACCTATCGGCATGTGTGTGAATGTGTGTGCTTTGTGGTGCAGGCGGTACCTGGTGCTGGCGCCCCGGGTGGTTCGTCCCAACCAGGTGTACCGGGTGACGGTGACGCTGCTGTCGGCGAGTGCGGCGCACACAGTGCGCGCTTCGCTGCAGCGCGAGTCCGAGGAGGTGGCCAGTGTCAAGGAACTTATCGGATCCGGAGAAACCGCTGTGTTGCTCATGAAGGTAATGGATTGAACGACTGCAACATGGTGCGGACGAGTTCTATCGTTCTTCCTTCTGAGCTCTCACAGTAGCCCAACATTCGTACGAATTTCTTCAGTTCTGAGCACGGCGTATCCCATGAATTTATCTGCAGTGTAGGTCACGAGTACCGTCAACGAATTATCGTAGGTCGTAGAATAATAAGTGAGTACCTTGTAAATTTTGTGGGGCCTGTTTCATGTTGCTTGCGCCCCCATCGCGGCAAAGTTATATGGCTGGTGCTTCGTGCTTTTTGTTCTAAAGGCGCGTTTACACGAGAGAGACACGACACTGATTTTGGTCTGCGGGCTGTCATTAGAAATGTCTTTGTTCTTGTCATCCGCCTATGTATACTGCAAAGACACAAACGGTCCGCGGGTGGTTTCTCCAAGACCCCGTCCGTACTTTGTCGTGCTCACAGCCTATTGTTGGCCAATACTGTAGTCACACTGAAGGAACACGCAGTGACACCCACTAAACTTGCACACCTGGACCTCATTTTCAGCCATGCTCCCCACTCTGCCATTATCCCTCTCGGGTTACGTGTCGCAGCCCCCGCCATATTCCATGGTAATGAGACATGGGGGTGGTGAACACAATAGGAAAGCGAAGAAAAAACTTCCGTTGGGTGCTAGAGCTGCCTATTCAGATGCCGCGCAAGCTTCGGAGCGAGCATTGTTAACTCCCCCAAGATTGCCCGATCACGGTCGTTTGAAGCAAAGCTATGGGTTGAATTTTTCACTCAGCCGCCGATTTCCCAAAGACACGCCGACGACTGGTCTGCCGATGCGTTTGGCTGGTGTTTCGGTCCCTCACCATGTCACACTACGATGAAATGCTGTATTTTGAGGCGTCGTCGTCAGCCAAGTGTGACCATGAGGTCTGGTGACTTCGTCGGCGGGCGACTCGTCGGCCGATGGTTTGCGTCTGCTTCGTGTATTCGGTGGGCTCTTGTCAGTGTCGTGTCGCTCTAGCGTAAATGCCCCTGAACACACACACACACACGCACACACACACACACACACACACACACACACACACACGCACGAACACACACACGCACGAACACACACGCACGAACACGCACACACACACACGCACGCACGAACACGCACGCACACGCACGCACTCGCTCGCACGCGCACACACGCACTCGCTCGCACGCGCACACACGCACACCCACGCACGCAAGCGCACACACACTATAGGTATATTATAGGCTGCTGAGGTATACTATAGGCTGCTGACCCGCAGGTCGCAGGATTGAATCGCGGCTGTGGCAGCTGCATTTTTGATGGAGGCCGAAATGCTGTAAGCCCGCGTGCTTAGAATTGGGTGCATGTTAAAGGACCCCAGGAAGCCGGAATTTTCGAAGCATGCCACTACGGTGCCTCTCACAATCATATGGTGGTTTTGGGACGTTGATCCTCACATGTCAATGAACACACACACACACACACACACACACACACACACACACACACACACACACACACGCACACACACACACACACACACACACACACGCACGCACGCACGCGCACAATTGACTTGCCACAGCGATACTCTGACTTTATTTGAGGTAGTGATTAAACAAGCATGTTATGAGGGTGGAGAAAGTAATTTCTTAACCTAAAGAGTGAAACCATAACTTCTAATATGAGTCTTGACGCTAGTCTTCTAAGAACTTCATAACGGCTTCAACGTTTGCAAGGAAACGAACGCTGCTACTTTCTGTACACTGTAGAGTGAATCCTAGCTGCTGTCCTACATATGCACCACGTAACGTTAACCGTTGAATGGACGACAAGATTGTTTCCACGTCACCACCGGGGTGTGGCATACAATGTAAAAAATGTCGTCTGTCTATGCACGCTTGTTCTTATAGTGGTAACCGTGTCATTTTGGTACCTGAAACCTATGTAAAACACAAGAGAGAAGGGAGAAGCTGAGGAGAGCATTTAGCAGAACTCTGGGGCACAGTTCGCTGAGCACAAACAATGAAAAGAGGTTGTGGGGCACAGACACGTGATCACACCATGGCAAAACTTGCTGCAGCTTAGAAGTTCTGCCTAAAACTCCATTACGTGATCATTATTGCATTCAGTCTGTACTCGCAGTGATATATATCACTCTCGGCGTCTGTCAACTGCGTTTCGTATTTTACAAACGCGTATTTGGAACACGACACGCGTTTTGGTTTTCGTGATTGTCGAACTGTGTGTCCCGCTTTGATTAAAGTGGTCTCCATGAGCGGCCTCATCCACAATATGAAAACCCACGATACTGCCTCTCAAGTCAATGCATCATATACCCACGCAGGCGAAATGGTGCTCAAGACCTGTCTCCGTTCTTCGAACTTTTCTTTCTATCGGCCCCTTAGAAGAACGACCATGTTTAAAATACACGCAGCCATATAGAGCAAGCTACATGGAGAAAAAAGTGCTTAGTCGGATGCAGTTCGCTTGTACAGCTACGCCCCAAGAGAGCGAGGAGCAGTCTCACGTAACACAATGGAACCTGCAACTGATGTCGACTGAATATCAAAAGCACGCGCGTTGCGAGTCGTCCGTAAGTCCATTCTGGTTTTTCCGTATTGCGGTCAGCACGTAACTGCCGCTACTTATGCACATTGTCCTTGGGGTAAGATTTCTCACGTTCCGAGCCACTGCAGACATGGTGAATAAGCGGTAACCGAGACTTTCTCGGTGTTTTTTTCTTTTCCTCTTAGTATTGTTTATTGTGCCTGTGAATCGGTCATGTCTTTTCATCCGCCAAAGTGGTGGTATAATGCACGCAGCTATCGAAGCAATGCGCTTGTGAACTTAATCCAACTTACGACTCTCGGCCGCTTCACGTTCGTCCTTGCCAATAATTGGTTCGCCCGAGATGCCGTACGCCGCCGCGCTGTGACACAGCAACAAGCCCGTACTTACAACTCTTCCCTGTTGCGATAAGAGGTGCAAATACAATCATCGGCTTCAGTGGTGACGTACAGAGCCACACCATGACCTCGCAGGGCGTCGCCAGGTTTGCGGTAATTAGATGGTTCTGTCATCAGACTGCCAGTGATGCGAGACCCTTTCTTTCGTTGTCGTTGCCTGAGGATTGCGGCTCCTGCAACAAAGCAGAAGATCGCGCCAGCATATAGCCAGAACAGACTGCAGTAGGAAATTGAATTCCACTGTTTATGGCCTTATGAATTTGACGCACTACGCAGAATTGCAGAGTATTGGTTTGTATGCACGCATCCCACGTCACCGAGACTAATAAACGAAAGAGTATTCTTTCAGATGCAGTGAGTTCCTCGCAGAGTAACTGGCTTTTTCGTACTGGAATAATTTTCCACATTTTGATCCTGTCCGCAATCCAGATCGTGCCGTGCATTTATTCTCTCTTTTATTACCTTCCCTTCCTTAAAGTAAACAATATTGTCACGGAGCCCTGACGTCGACGAAAATAGCAGACTGCTGGCTCAAAATAAAACTATTTATTCAGCCGAATTTTTCTGGTAAACGGACGGTCAGATAACAGCGATATACACTGGCACTGGTAGCCGCAAGCAAAGCGTCGGCTGGCGATCAACTGACTAACGGCGAAGCACGTTGGCATTTATTCATGTGCCGTCGAATATTCCATCCTTACCACTGGTCGTCACGCAAGCTCTGGAATAATCTCGAGTGCTCGTGTCTTGCGCGGAAACTTGATTGATTTGATTGATATGCGGGGTTTAACGTCCCAAAACCACCACAAGATTATGAGAGACGCCGTAGTGGAGAGTTCCGGAAATTTCGACCATCTGAGGTTCTTTAACGTGCACCCAAATCTGAGCACACGGGCCTACAGCATTTCCGCCTCCATCGAAAATGCAGCTGCCGCAGCCGGGACTCGATCATGCTACCATTTTGCGCGCAAACTTAACAAAACGATTTACGATAGTCGCGAACGTTCTCGAACAATGAGGTGCAATTTGCGCTGAGCATTTCTAGCAAGCTTTGTGGGAGAAAACGGAATAAAGCAAGAGTGAAATTAAGAAACGCGCGTGGCATAGCCCTCTTCTGAAAAAGCATCATCCCAATGCTTTAAACAGAACACGAGCAAAAAATGAAAGCAAAAATGCGTACAATAAAGCAAGAAATCAGAATAATAACAATGTACGATAATATAGAAACAACAACAAAAAATAGTGATTTCAGTTTTCTTGTGCATGAAACAGCTTGAGCCGCACGACATGAACGACTTCAGGTCGTGCACGGCGCCGTTGAGAGTTAAGGTGCGCGTTTACAATAGAGCGACACGACACTGACATGAACCTGACGAAAACACGAGGCAGACGCAAACCATCGGCCGACCAGTAGCCCGCCGACGAAGTCGCCAGACCCCATGGCCACACTAGGCCGACGATGACGACGCCACCTCAAAAGACAGCAGTTATTTGTAGTGTAACATGATGATAGACCGAAAGCACTAGCAAAACGCATCCGCAGACCTGTCGTCGGCATGTCGGTGGGAGATTGGTGGCTGAGCGGAAATTCACCTAATGTCTTTGCTTCAAATGACCACGAAGCGGGCAATCTTGCGGGAGTTAACAATACTCTCCCCGAGGCTTCCGCGGCGTCTGAATAGGCAGCTCGAGCCCCCCATAGGAAGTTTTTTATTTTTAGAGAAGGGAGCACGGCTGAAAATGAACTGCAGGTGTGCAAGTTGAGCCGGTGTCACTGCGTGTGCCCCCAATGTGACTACAGAATTGGCCTACGAAAGACTGTGAGCACGACAAGATGCGGGCAGGACCTTCGGGAAACCACCGGCGGATTGCTTGTGTCTTTGCAGTGTACATAGGCCGACGACAACAGAAAAGGTACTCCTAAAGACAGCCCGCAGACCAAATTTGGTGTCGTGTCTCTCTAGTGTAAACGCGCTTTTAGTGAGGCCGTAGGGGGCAACCTCGTGCACAGTGAAAATTTTTACACTCTGACGGGTGT